AACGATGACATTAGGTGGCGGTTGCGCTATATCGTGAGCTAACAGAAGTTGGAAATATGGACCATTGGATTCTGACCCAATGGCTCAATGGTAACGCGCTGGCCGCGGAACCTGAAGGTCGCGGGTGCGCACTGCTGGGGAGTCCCATACTAGGGCGAAACAGCTGTCCAGTGCTCCCAGGTTTCCTTTGTTCCTTCAACTGATGTCAGTCTACGATAAATAACAACTTGAAATAAAGAAATAAACAAGAAACTATTCAAAAGTGGTAAAAAGCCATCAAAAGTAGGCACGGAGAGATGAAGTAAAAATAACGACTCAGACCAACGGTCAGAGCTTTCACGCAATACTTGACCGGCCACCTCTAACGTTTTCCCAGCGTGAACATAATTCAGCTAACATTGAGCAAGGAGGCAGAAGGTGGCTAAGCATGTGTAACACATGTCTTAGTCAAATCAGTCGATCAAGGTTCACAACCTTATCAACCGGCTTTCCTCTTCCCTCTAAAAACCTGCTACTGACTTCCACGTTAATGACTTGGTGACATCATGACACACGGGCTATGCTACGAAGACAACGATGGTCGAATAATGGAAGCCTGCTCATTACCTCCACCTTAAATGGCTGCTTTGCAACGCCATATAATAAAACAGAGCAAACTGCAGCGCAGTATGATCAGTCGTGTCGAGGTCAGGTGAAAGGTACTAGACAAGACAGGCGAGTCGATTTACGAGGTAGTGAACCTTCACCAACTGAGATGGCTTGGATATGTACTGCACATGCCGAGACAGCGACTACCTCGACCTGTCATACTAGGGAAATTTGGATTAGGTTTCAAAATGGTGCAGGGTGCCCAGACCAAGACGTGATACCAGTCCATGAAGTCCCTGACTGTTGATTTGAGCAGTGTCGGGAGATGTAAACCGCGAAATAAAACACGGTTGAGAACTCTCGACGACACAGCTGAAAATCGGTTTCAGTGGGGTAGATGTATACACTGCTTAACGTCATCTAAAGCTTGAATATTTCTACCAACCGTTATCTTCAAATTACTTCTTTCGTACAACTTTGTCTGCGTTGATATCACTTTTTCTATCCACCTATTCATTGTATACCACCGTGAAGACTGGAAACTCAAACCGATGCAGTTTTCTGCGAAGTTCTGCTTTGATTTTGTCGATCTGGCTATCTGATGATAGAATCTTAATGAACAACCAGATATCAAGACGGTAAGTTGATGAAAGTCAATCAAGCATTTTGTATCCATACAGAGAATTTGCCGGTTACTGACCCAAAAAATAGGGCTGATTCGACTTCCAAGGTAAGTCAAGAGGTTAAAGCCCTTAAACACTTCATTCTTTATAGCTAACCAAGGAAATGAAGAAGACCAGCACTGGAGCAACCGTTTGCAACTGGGTGGCGACAAACGCGTCCCAGGCATTCAGCATTTTGCCAGTGTCTTTGCCTAACAAAACTACGTTATCTTCGTAGTCCAGATCTACCAAGAATTCTCCTGTCATAAGATCAAGTCCTATAAAATAAGATGACGAGACGGAGACCTCAATAAATAAATGATGTTATTGAACCAGTGGGCACCCCTGATGGACACCACTTGACAAACACAACTCACCTAAGAGACAACTCACTATGGGCTTTAAAACGCCCGCGAATGTTCCAGTACAGAGCCTTCAACGGTATAATGTACTTACTCTGCATCCTTTTAAGTGACAGACAGTTATAAAAGCTCTCGGCCAACGGAGCCGAATACCACTTTCAGATAGAGAAATACTGTGTGTTCAGCATCAGTAAATATGCCTGTGTTCCAGAACCGGGTAGAGGGTGAATATCAAGTCAATACGCCCATAGCCAAGTCTGAAGCATGACCGGTTTTCTCGAGTTTGCTGTTCCCGAGCTCCCTTCAGGCATCTAATAATTATGGAACCCAGAATCTTAGGCACTATGCTTGTCAGACTGATTCCCGTGTGGTTGTCACAAGAGCACTTCTTACTTTTATTGAAGACCGGGATAGTTATCGATTGCGACCAGTGAGAGGGGATCGTATGTAACTCCCAAACACTAGCTAATACTTCATTTAACTTGGCTAAAAACCTTCGACCACCGTCATTAAATACCTCTGAAACTAGTCCATCCGGTTTCAGTGGTCTTCCTAATTTCAGGTTACCTACAGCTTTTTCAACTTCCATTCAGGGTACCATTGAATAGTGCAGGACAGAAAAATGGCTGCAGGTCAAATTAACTGTTCCTTAAAGTATTTCAGACATTAGTCCAATCGTCCCGCTTGTGAGTGAATCCCAAATCCATCCTTTTCCGCTACAGTCTCACCAACCACTGACCTTTCAGCACCAGTTTCCTTGGTAAGTTTTGTGTTACCTACCACCACTGTCTTTTCTAACTCTTTAGTTTGCGTTTGAGTTATTTCCGATCCGCGAAGTGCTCGGAATCTGCAGCGAAGTGTTCGCATGAATCCACTTATTCAGAAGCTGCTGGGATCCACTGGTCTTTCGTCAACTACTCTATGACATTCAGCTACGGTCTCCGAAGCTGTCTCCACAGAAGAATATAGATGGACCCAGATCTTTTCTGAATGAGTGATGTTGTTCTGCACCAATAACAGTCGAGCCAGGATCCCTATTGCTATCATTGTCAATTTGTACTTGAAATAGTCCTTTTGCTTAAGTTTTTTAAGTCCATTAAGCAACAGACACACGTGCTCGAAACAAAGCGTAGTCGCTGGCCAAATACGTACTCTACCAACCCTCCCTAACGATAAATGATCACAATATTGTCTGTGTCCATGGTTTGGATAAGGTTGGTGGACGCAAGACCAAATAATGTCTCTACTTCTGAAGTTCGTGCTGGTCTGAAATAGTTGTCTGAGCACAGTCATAGCAGGCAATAGCCGTTATCTGTTTGACCGGTTGAGAATCCGAAATTGCCACTTAAGTGCCTTTATACCTAATTTGGCCTACTCACTTCTGCACTGAAATCACCTGCCGCAACAACCACAATTGAACGTTTGGCAAGGTACTTTTTGGTAGAGCTCATCCTTTACTTCATCCGAGCCGCAGTCAGTGCATGTAGAAGGAGAGATTACAAAAAGATAGCGGCGACTTTTACTCTTTCTAGTCACCAGTGGACCATCCACTTGAACAGTGCATGGGGGACTCCACTGGAATGCAGTGAACTTTCTGCCTTAGCACCTGATATCATACCTCTACCTGGAAGACCGTGAGAACTAACCAACCAGTCTTTAAAGTCTCGAGGAGTGAATTTCGCAGATTTGTAATATTGCTCGGGTGAGATTAACTAAATAACCGCTTTTGAGTCCTGTACAGCAGTCTAAGAAACACGGCACACATCTACGGCCTGAGATGCTAGAGTTTTGCTAGCGAAGTTTGTTAGCCTATTTTCTTCCAGGACTGCACAAGATGTAAAATGTAAGCAACTGGATTCGCCTGTCATAGTGCATTACTTGAGGCCGTTGAAAAAACTAACCTGAATGTGATATAAACTAAAAGCGGGTTGGATTCTAATCAAAGCCGGAATAACATAACATCTATCCATGAAATTACTGGATAATAGGACGAAGCAATGAGATTCGGAACTAAGGAAAGGAACCGTTTCTCGATAAACTGGTTTCCTACATCTTTTCCAATTCCGCATTCTAATCACTACAAAGTAAAATGAAACCGAACGGGAAGGAAGCTGGGTATTTGTGTGTATAGTTAGCACCCTGACTGGTGATGATCCACGCCAAAATATATCCGTACAGTTTTTAATACAACAGCTTTGCATATTCGTAGAGCCAAATAAAACAATTTGTGAGTTCTAAACATATTTATAACGATACAATGAAGAACACTTGTTTTTCCAAGGATTCTGGGCTAAACCAGTAGGAAATAATGACATTTCCCAACATTAGGGAAACGTGAGATTTTCTCAGGATCCTCACGATTCCAAAAATCAGTAACTAGAAACTAAAGATTTCTATAAATTTTGTATATCTTATTATCCCGAAACTAATTATTTTCTCTCCACTTGTATCTTTCATTCGTTCATTCATCCCCAACTCTCTGTTTGTATTAATGTTCTCCTTTTTATGTTATTTTGAATCGTTAGGACGTGAATTGAAGTGTTTATCATGTGAAGTTGAGTTCAGTTATTCCATAGGGTACTACACTGATGTGGTTGACTGGATTCTTCAGTTCAAGTGGATAGAAAAGATTTGTTTACATAGAACAGTCACTTTCTCACTTCTCAAAAGCATAAAGAAGTGCTCAGTTATTGGGTCATAATTTTGAAGTGCACACAAAAATGCTTTTCTAAGTTAAGCCGAAAGTCGTAAGAGGTTACACAAATGATAAGCTATTACTTTCTTTGTATAGTGTTACGGAGCTGTGTCTTATTGGTTCAGCCGTACATTTTCAACCAGTGAGCCATGACTTATAACTCTTCTTCCTCTACTCAGCTTCAGGCAAGCAGATAATATCACTAGCCGCCACAATATATATATATATATATATATATATATATATATATATATAATGTTAGTTGGCAATCGGTGGGAAGTCCTGAGTTTTAATCCCATGGAGGACACCAGTCCCCTCGAGGTTGCAGATAAGCCTTGCTGACAAGTGCCGACAAGCAGGAAACAGGTTAGGTACCGTTTCCTGCGAATTGCCTCCAACCAACTAACATTCATCAAAGTGCACCGCAATGGTGAGCCTCTCAGCTTGGTGGTTACGTTGAAAAATGATCGACAGAATTCGGTCATCACTCAGGACTAGACAACACGAGATTGGTTGCTCTCCAGTCATCAATTAATGTGACCATATATATATATAGTAAGTGGACTGTATCAATTCGCATATGGTATCTTTCACCAAAAGTTCGAAAAAGAAATGAGTAGAAAAGCTGTAAAGTGTGTGTATAGGAATGGAGTATAAACACAAACTGGAAAAAGCAGTGCAAAGAGTACTCACCGGCTCGACGACAGCTACGACGTGAAAATAAGATAACTGTAACATGTTCCACATCGCCAATTATCATTGGTTTGCTTTGCTGTTGACTAAAATTATTTTTATCACTGTTATTGACATCATTATTTGTATTATTTATCGGTATTACAGTAACAGCTGAACTTGTCATATTACTGGTAGTTGTTGTTTCCAAAGTATCTGCTGCCACAGAATTGTATGTGGAGTTCACACTGACTACGTCTGCTTCTTGATTTGGAATGTTTGTCATATCATTCAACTGGGATGTCTCTGCAAATGACATTCGCTTTCTTCCCTTCATCAATCTGGCTGATGATGTTGACGATGAAAAAACAGATGGATCAAATTCAACAGCTTGTCTAAGACTGGCATCAACATCATGATAGGTAACTGAATCAAAGTGATCCCTATTTTTATGTTCGTTTCCAGTAGCAACAGAGTTAGATTGACCACTTAACCCAATTATATTAATTTGACCTTGTTCATCATTTATGTTTACATGATTATTAAAAAATGCTACACTCATTGAAGGTAAATCATTATTCGACTTTTCCGTCAAAGTTTTTGACTTTTTAAGAACATCTACTATAAGATGACCTTGAAGTCTATTTAAAACAAACTCTTCAATATGTACATAACCTTGAACAATAGGCATTAATAAACCCTCTAAGTCTGCAATCAAACTATTGAATTGAGTAAATGACTCAGAAGATTTGAAATTAGCGCCATAGACTGGGAAACCACAACTTGTTAGCATTCGATCTGCCTCTACAATTGGTTCAGATAATAAGTGGGAATTCCAGAAGAATCTTTGATCAGCCCGTCTCCAAACAGGTTGACGCCAAGATGGTTTGAATGATGTCGGGAGACCGAGCGGTTGTGACTCGATAGTACTGTTATCATATGCGACATCAGTATTTTCAGGTACACCACTCCAATAAGATGGATGTGTTTTACATTGTGTCCAGTTGGTAAGATCACCTCCACCAGGTGAAAAATAAAAATATGATTCATCTTCAGACTGTAGCATATTGACCAGTTCCTGAAAAGAACAAGTTGGTATGATATAAGTACAGAATCAAGCCTGATATTGAAAATACGAAACTCAAAGTAATCAAAAGCCATTTTAGTGAACACAGATTATTCTCTTCGATAGCTTCTTCTTCTTCAGGTCGTATAGTGATATGTACATATTAAGTAATCATGTATTACTAAAATAGAGATTTTGCTTATCAGTTTGTTAATAATATTACACAATTGAGGAAAGTCATGTGTGAACGTTAATGAAAGAATCTATTATTACAAGAATTCAATTCAAAATAATTAACTGTGTAAATCATTATAGGGCGTAGGTACTCCTATAAGGTGATGATTTAATAAAACAATATGAAGGTGTTTATGAGAGCTGTATGTAATAAACTAAGAAAGATAGTTTGATGAATAATAACTTGGTAGAATGTCACTCATGTTGGGCGACAAAATAGATTAAGAGAACTTGCTAAAATTATTTGAGATTATAGGGATGAAGGGATATCTACAGTATAGAATTAGAAAATTAGATTACCTAAGATAGGATGCTAAGGAATTTGTGCATCCCGAGTCGGGCCACGATAGTTACAGTGGTAATACTTGCTCTTTTGGATACATATCTCGTTATTTGATCCCCATTGCTACTACTTCTGCAGTTTGAAGGACTCGGAGCTGGGTACTTTTTGGTAAGTTGATGCGAACCCAGTAGAGAATGGAAAACGATATATTCATATACACCTTATGGTTCGTTTCAACCAGGTGTCCTAACATAGATCTGGTAGTGATCTTTACCAGGTTTTTACTTAACCACGCTGGCAGCTCACGAGAACGGGAAATTAAATTCCTAGGGCACCGGCCAACGTAAATGGCTCCACAAGAGCAGTCGAACTGATAAACGCAACAGGAAGTGGTCAGTCTAAGGAATTCATCGTTCAGTTTCGATGTTGATGATTTAAACCATAAAATGCAGAAATTCATTGAGCTATAAAGTTTAATTTTAAGTATACTGCTCACAATCATCTTCACGCTTTCATAAGTTTTTGAAGGAGCAGAACTCAATTGTACCAGTAGCTTTAATAGTCAGCTCAGGATGAGTTATTAGTCAAAAAAATAATCAACACCAATATCATGATGAAACAGTAGTAAAGCTGTGTGATAGCCAATAATTATGCTCATTAACACTTGAAAATTCAACATAGAACAACTTCTACTATTATTACATGGTTTTATCCTATGCGGTTTGATGATGTTATGAGTAAACAGTAAGTCTGGATTATTACGAAATTTTCAAGTTGATATTATATGAAGGACCAGCCACTATAACCTTTAGGCATTCACACAACCTTACACCCTATTCTTTCTGGCTACTTTTGCCAGTACATGGGTGGCATTCAATCCATTAATTATAATAAATGAGTTCATAGTCGCTAGAGCAAATGAAACATCTATCACATTTCCAACTGCTCTTTTTAATTTTCCTACTGTCATTACTTAAACACTCCCTATAGCTCACTTAATAATTTAGGAACCTCTTCCTCATTGATACCAATCCACTCACTTTGCTATGAAAAGCAACAAGATTCATGACTAAAAAAATATTTCACTAAAAAAAGTCTACATCCTCTTAAAGTAAAACGATAAAGGAATCCCACTATATAAAATATACACAATCCAACCAATTACAGAAGACGAAGTATTGACAGGATGAATGGAACATTATAACTCCATGTTTAAAATGGTTATTAATAGAGTTAAAGATCAAAATATTGAATGTATAAGTGAAGTATGATCCACATCGATGTCCAATAATTTAAGATAAACACGTAAGTATTAGTTTAAAAGATAGTACATTTGACTTTTTCATGATAAAAATATCTTGAAGAAAAATGAAAGAAAAACTTTAAACATTTAAACAGACTGTGGTCTTCTTGAGAGCTAACAGTAGAATCCAGGAAGCACGTTTCTTCCTATTCGAGTATTATCAATTGGATGTACTTGTACCTTAGTGAGTGATGCTGCTACCACTGAGACTCTAAACCAGTACTCATCGCTTCAAACGCCAAAGCGTCAGCCACTAGACCACTGAATCACGAGAACCAGAACAACCTAAACATATTCTTTCAAATCTGCAAATGAGTGAAAATAACGTCAGGATAGTCAAAAGGTAATATGAAGACAAATAATGGTGGTGTATGTCTTTTTGATTGACTGTACGCAAGTAAAGCAACGCAGTTAGGAAAGCAGTCATTCAAGTCGCTTGTAAAACAAGGAGATAGGTACTACAATAATGAATGGATAGCATCTTTTCTGTAGAACGATTATCTACTTGCCTAAAGTATCTTGAAACTTTTGCGTCGGGAACGTTATTAGAATGAATACCTCAGTTATTTTGACATGGGTCATCAATGCATTAGCTCAATCTTTAACACTTAGCCCTAACTCGGGTCTGTCAGTAATGTTCTGCATTGTGACCAACAGGCAAAGTTATGCAACAGTGCGGTGCACTTCATTTAGGTGTCAAATATTCAGAGTCAATCGGCAGGAAGTCGTCCATCAGGGTTTCAATAGCTTAAGTACTAAGTTTCTGACGTAATCAATGAGTGACACAGGTACGAATCATCGAGGGAAAACCAGTTATTATTAGATAGACAGATAGACAGACAAAATCAACGTAGAACCTCGTACACAACTGCATCGGTTCAAGTTACCACTCTTCGCAGTAGCAGTATACAAAGAACAAGTCGATATAAAAAGACTGATATTGAAGAAGACAAAATTGTGTGAGAGAATAAGAAATCTGAAGATAACACTTGGTATAAATATTCAAGCTTTAGAAGACATCCGGGAGTGGACATATCTGAGCCAGTGTGATCGATTTTCAGCCATATCACCAAGACCCCTCAACCACTGATTCCTGTCATCTCAGGCACTCTAGCCATATGGTTTACACCCCCCCCCCACACGGCTCAGACCAGCAGTCAGGGACTTCATTGACTAGTGTCACGTCTTGGTCTAGATAGTCTGAAATCTCTTCCAACGTCATCCATCTCCTCCCGAGTATGGCACGCTGAGGTAGGTACTGACTCAGCATGCATAGTACACGTCCAAGCTATCTCAGTCGACTCAGGTTTCTATCCTCATCAATCGACTTATCTTTCTTGTCTAATACCCATCACCTGACCTCTAAGTTGCTCACATGGTGATTCTACCAACCACCGGCAATGTTACAAAGATACCTCTGATCCCAATTCTGTAATTGTTTCATATCTTCTACTTTTAACAGTCATGTTTGACAGTCGTATAACAAGACAAAAGGAAATGCAGCGAGGTGAACTCCTTCTTCAATAGGTAGTCAAATGAATCACCCGTTGCCACCAGAGATGACGAAAGTTGGCGAATGTCAAACGGATCTTCTGTATCCTCACAGTTGTAGATATACCTTGTTGATATGAGTCAAAAAAAAGGGAACCCTAGTTTATATGTTTCCTGCCAATTACCTCCCTATATCGAACTCCAAAACAAAGGTAATAATTCATCGTATCAGGTGTATTTTTACTTGTATAATCCCGGTGTAGTATATTAGAACAAATAACAACACAAACAAATATTTTGTATTATTCCTCTTTGTTTATTTTATTTTATTATTATTATTTTATTTATTATTTTATTATTTTGCCCTAATATACTACGCCGAGATTATACAACTGAAAATACACCTTATACGATGAATCATACTAACTCGGTGCCCAAGTTTTTTCAAACCATCCAGTCCGTTGTTGGTCAGCATATCTTCAAAGATAACAATCTCATAAATGTGCACAGAAGTTGGCTAGAAATTAGTAGAGAATTATAAACTATACATCTTAGTTGTATAAACAGGGCTGTGTATTTTTTTGAAAAAATTATCATTTGCAACCGATAGAGTTTACAAATGTCACTTGAAAGAGGCTGAGAATTATTCAACATTTATTCTAAACTAGTATATGGTCAAAAGTACAAATAATCAATGAGATTCGACTATCTTTACTCAAGTATCGAGGGTAGCTAGCACCTATTTTTTGTATTACTACTGAATAAAACGTTAGCAATTTCGTTATTGCGCTTTGTAATTTAAAGTTAACCATCATTATTTTAATACTGGATGATGATTGAAAGTGAAGTGGAAATTCGGACCGCAACCGGATTCGGACCAGCGACTACATGGAACGTCGCATACATTCAATGTTTCCGCATTTAGAGAAGTTTAAGTTCATAAACTCTAATATTCACATATTGCATGGTATTTAAATAACCCAAAAGGAAAAATTAAATCCGTTCAGCAACAAAGTGCATGTTCGTAGAGTAAGTAATGAGCCACACCGGTTGTGTAAGAGCTAATGATGATACCTAGTTGCCCAGACCTCGATAGGTTAAGTGAGGTTTGAACCCGTGACCCAAAAGCTGAAGTCAAGAGCCTAGAGCATTGAGTAACGGCCTCATAACCAAAAATAAAACAACTCCAAGCATATTTAATCTTTATTTTTTGTGTCAAGATTTGGAATAACAATTAAAAAGATTCTTTCACCGATAGTTGAAAAGTTTACCGGATGTGACTCAGATTTGGTTGGCATAACCTTGAGGCATCTAGGCCTTATCTCTCCTCTAAATCGGTTACTCTTTTTCTTACCTTACCTTCTTCGCTTTTCCCATACTTTATTTCCCGCAATCGATAGTATGCTTTTCCTGGATTTGTTTCTCCATTCAGAGTGAGGCGTGGCACCAGCTAAGAAATCATATCTCATCATGTTGTTTATTACATTCAATAAAGATGCAATGCAAATCTTTGACGATAGATATTGCAAAAAACGTTCAGCATCTTATAAGGAACATAAAGAGCTAATCAACTACAATGGAGCATAAAGATGTCAACAGTAGATAACATGAAAATGAAATCGCTCAGTGTTCAAATAATACAATACAATAGGTAGAAGAGTAAACAGAAAATCAACGAACGAAAATATACACAGTTGTAATTACTATTAACTTAGAGATCAGTTCCCTTAGTTTCTTTTACATAACTTGATTTACAAACAGATAAAAAGAGGTATGTAGGTATGGAAGATACCATAAACAGAATGACTCTGTCCTTCTACTAATCGGAAGTATATCCTCCAAGTAATTTCTATTCCTACGATTGAACCCAACATAAACCTACTCGGAGGTACTGGTATACAGTGTAGCAACTTTGCTGTGTTTCTGATATTCTGTTACCGGTAGCGTGATAATTAAGTTGATACGTTTTCTTGATTCGGTATATTTAATTTTCGGCAAGTATATGACGAGTTTGAACTATGAAATCATACCTGAAAACTGGTATGCACTTGGTGTCGTTACATACCAATCTTACATTTGATACATGTAAAATCCATGCCAATCGTTAACCAATGTCTGCTTAAAGGTGCTCAGAAGATCTTATGGGTTATCAGTGTCTTCAGATTATAAGACTACATCGTCTTCTTACTATAAGTAAATAAGAGAGGTGTGTTTGATAGACCTTTCAAAAATGAACCATATAAAATATAATCAAATACATAAGACCATTGAAAAAATTCACAAGTACTTGCTCGACCGAGAGAGTATGAGTAGATAAACTCCAGTAAAATAAGATGTCTATCCTGCACTCCTTTCAAATCCGGATGTTTGAGAATAGTCAGGGGATATTTAGAGTAAAATTTCATCGTTAGATCACGGAATATCGCCAATGTCACATCTTTCGACACTTCTTATTCGAAATAACCAACTGAACTTTCATCAGAGTTGAGTAACTGATGACTGTGTACAACAGAGGTACTGATAGGATACTTGATGTGAAACTGAAGCGTAGAAGTTAAGCAATATAGTTGCTGCCCAAAGTATCACTCAAAACATTCCAGAAGCCTGCTAAGAGAGCTTACCCAAGATTTTGCCCAAAACCATAATCTCACTAACTACGACTTTTCTTGCCAGCTTCTCTAATACTGATATATCCTTGATTGTAAATATGAGACTGGACTCATGAATAACTTTAGGCTTCACACTTAGGGGTGGTTAAAATAATTGTGAATTGTCACTTATTGTCGACTTCTTTTTTCGCTTTCGCTATCCCTCACTGCAATCAAAAAACTAAGTGTGCTGGTTGTCAGGAATATGCATTTAAATACTAATTAATTTAGGTAAGGCTAAAATGATCTACTGGCCTCACTAGGCATTGACTGCAGACCACTTGCAGTCTTCGTCGCTTTTTCTACAGCATACCAAGTAAAAAGTTAGGTGATATCACAGTGAATAATGATTTTGTTTTCTCATGACTGCCTAGTACATGCAAAAAATTTCCAACTTTAAACATTAAATCTGAGAAATTTACATTTTGTAGATTAAATTTACCCACACAAGAGGAAACACACTTGTACTCAATTCCTATTATTCCAAGTAGGTGAGACATAAAGAGCTGACGTCTCGCTTTGAGCTACTTTCATGCCAAAAGCCTCGAAGTTAGACAGCACTTCCCTACATGTCTTAATTTTGTGCTGATTGAATGCAATCAATTATATAACCGATACCATTTTGTCAGTACTGCTGTTCATACACATATGTAATTTAATTCACAGTGCAGTTTCTTGAGTTTGTATATCAAAATGAACTGGTTTACTATATCAGTATGTTCATTTCTTTGACAGAAATATCAAATCATGCACACAGTCAGTCACCACACATAAACCTAGGACATAGTGAAGCTACGACTCATTAGTATGACTATCGACTTTCAATCACTCAGCCACAACCTCGAACTCCTTCTCAACTACCAAGGTTTCTGTACAAAAGCACTGTTAATTTTCTTCACAAAATAAGTCTGAATTACAGCCAAGTGCACAGAACTTCTCATGGCTACCAATTTATCGATAAGCTAAGAAAATATTTATACCACAGTTATCAGGAAAAGAATACTTTGTCTCAAAATCATATTCCATGTGCTTTTACTCCGTTAACAATTTGACTGCGTGATAGAACACAATAGCTTTCAATGCAATGTAGTTTAAGACTAAAAGTAGTTGCCGATTTTCATGTATCCAGTCCACTGCTGGTTCGTGGTTATTGAAACAGGTTCAATCATAAAAGTAGTTAGTACTATTTGTAGTGTCTTCCGGTACAGTGAATGTATTTCATGTGCGAAAAAAAGGAGTAAGTCAAGTGTCAAACAGTAGAATTTAGTTGAACAAATTTCTAATGAGTTATTTCCCTGCACTGTTCAATAACATGATATAAACACTATTTTATACACAGTTGTTTTGTTTGCCGAAAGCCTTAAAAAACTTCATCAAGTTACTTGGTAATAAAAACGAGATTATGTAACAGTGTAATAATATATTCAAACATGAGAAAGATTTTCTCAGTGAGAGAAATAATTATTCATCAGGCTGGATAAACTCTCTTAAGGAGAAAAAGATGTGTGTAGAGTAAAGATAAAGCATCTTAGACAAAATCTGACTTTGAAAAAGAGCGGTATTGGGAAGTGAAATGAGATGATATTCGAGTTGTGAATGAGTGAGAGAAAAATACACATGGAAGACATTCATTCTTAAAACTGACCATCAGGAACATGCTCAGCGAACATGGTTGAATAAATTTCTTCTTTTCTAGAAATAATTCGAGTGTTTTAGTGTGAAATGATTAACGCTTCAACACCACAAAGAAAACAAGAAAATACCATTATGAACAAGTTTCTTCACATTTTGTAACTGGATTAAAATCGAAGAATTTCGTTCTCAATGTATGGAGTTATCAAAGGAAAAGAATGGGATAAAAAAAATCTATCTTTCTAGAAATGGTATCTGCAGTCTAGTGGGTAAGCTCAAAGAAATAAAGATTATCATTTGACTATCTGAGATAGCTGTAGTTTGACAGATTAGTATTTTACACTGGGTGATGAGTGAAGGTGAAATGAAAATTTGAACCGCGGCCGGATTCGAACCAGCGACCACCGGGTTTCGGGCCGGATGCCCAACTAACTGAGCTACAAGGTCCGACTGCTGACCAGATTTCACTTCAATCACCAAGGGTTTTACCTGACTACCATGTGAATTCGTGAGGTGTTACTATCGCTTGATTGTGATCACACTGGTAGGCTAGTCAGGACTTCCCATCCCAATCCAAGTCTAACTGAATCAGAGAGGGGGACCATCATATTGGTTATCATTTGACTACCTGAGATAGCCTTAGTTTGGCAGACTAGTATTTTATACTGGGTGACCGGTGGTCGCTGGTTCGAGTCCGGCCACGGTCCAAATTTTCATTTCACCTTCGATTATCCCCCAGCATAAAATGAAGATTAGCAAAGTGGTGACTACAAATAGCTAACCTACCTATGAAAATTAGTTTCGGACATACAAAAAGTTTTTTAAGTTGTGTAGAACAACAGTATGTTAAAAGCCAACAAAGACTAAGGACTTTGCCGTTGGGATAAATACTCGGATGTATCCTGGATGACAGTATTTCTTGAAGAAATATACCGCAACTTTTGTGTTTATTCCATTCCAGGTAGATAAGCATTCCTGCTTGAATCTGCGTTTGCATAGAGTCTCGAAAATAAAGAAAACCAATACTCAAGAGTAACAATACTTGTGTATGTGTTACTTGGATGGACACAATCGACAAGAAGCCCTGCTCCACTTAGGTTTTGTGCTTTTTGACATTTATCACAACAAAGCGTATCTGTAAACCTTGGCGGAACTGATATCCCGCCTGAGATTAGAACACGCACCACTCGGTGCAGTGATTGGAGGCGTTACCATTTAGCTGTTCGGGCCTGTGTATGTATCATAAGTCATTAAGATGGATTGAAAAATACAGACAGGTGGTAAAGTCAAATAACTGCTATTCTAAGAAGAAAAGAAAACAATCCTTGGATTCATCATCCTTAATAATCAGATGGCTCTGACTTTTAATTTGATAAATAAGTTAGCATAAAGGTCAGCGAGTAAGTCTGTACGATGAATTATGCATGTTTTAAAACTACTACACGGAAAAACCACTCAAACATTTCAAAGATAAAACAGTTAAATAAAAAGGCGCTCAGCAGCCATTTTCATATTCGTGCATTAGACAACGAGATATACTTAATATGTGGAGATTAATAGTACTATTTGAGTGTCCAAACCTCAGTAAGTGAGGCGGGATTGGAATCCGTGTGATGCACTGGTTGAAAGTGATTTCTCTCGACAAATGAGACATAGTTCGACATTTCACAAAAAACGATGTCCGTAAACTAAGTCAAGATTAAGTCATTACCAGTCAGTCAATTCAATGAATGAAATCATCACTATGGTATTATCAATGCCTTCTATGTGTCGGCGTTCACATCTCTTCAGACAACCCATACTCCTACTAAAAGACTGATAGCAAAAGGTAAGTCATGCAACATTTTGTCCCTAAATACCATGCAACACACCGCTTTTCCTACACCTTCAATCAAGACAAAACACATAAGCATTTATGACAAAATTCGTATCTTAAATTAAATCAGACAGTAAATAACGTGTAAGGATAGTTGAAAGAAAACAATAACAAAAAATTACTGAGGCAACGTGAAAAATGAGAGAAATTCTCCTGCTATCTTGCTTCTTCCCTTTTCATAGGGTTATTCCACTGTTTCTGAGTGTATACCAACAGACATAAATACACATACAAAGAGAGAAAACGAGTACAGGCTTACCTCTTCAATACGTTGTTCATACTTTTCTCTTCGCTTAATTAATCGCTTGAGCGGACAAGAATAATGTGCATGAAGAGAAAATAGGGGAGGGAAAAAGAGTTACTTTTTATAAACGGTAAAACGCTAAACACAAAATCATTAAATATGTTAACAAGACGTGAATTCTGCTTCTCTTCTTTAGTTAAAACAATTGTAAAGAAAATAATGACGACTCGAATGTCAGCAGACAAATCACATGAATTCATATCATATCTTCCAATTAAGACAGTACAGACAGCTATAGGTTAAAAGGAGACTGGACGAAAATATACGTTTCAAAGACTAATTACAAACATATATGCGGGATGATGATCGTGATTGGGTATCGCTTAAATCTCAACTGATCTGAATAATCAACTTTTGGAATTAATGAGTCATAGTTCGAATGAATGAAGTCCAAAATATATGACTGCTAAGAAAAGTATTACATCACCTCTAATCGTTGAATAAAATTGTATCTATCGTCTGAAAGTTGTGGGTTCATTTTAAAATATTATTTTACGTTGATTTAGGTAGAAAGAATAACTAGTCTAAGGACTAACTGAAGTAACTAGAACAATTCTCGTACAACACAATTGGGAAACTCTTAACTACTGAAGGGGTCAATCCGTACACAAGACTGTTCCAGATCCTCAAAAAAGTCAGGTATTGCTGAAGATATACAGACAATGGATATGGTTTGTAGATTCTAATACCAGAAGTGAGAATCTAATTGCATAGCCAAAGCATAAGTCATCCCAGAACACTAGAAAATAATGACACATACAAGATCTTGTAGTCAGCTATCGATAATACTACTAGTCGTACACGTCCGAACATCATGCAGCTGAAAGTGATGAAGTTCAGAGAAGTTACGGGTTAGAAACCGACGGTATTCTATGTCTAAGCACACCTTTGACTGGCATTTCAACAGTATTTACGAAGTGTATGTGAGACAGAATAATACAACGTATCTTATCTTCATTCAACTCACATAATCCCTTTACACTGATTTTTTAGATTTGCCATAGAGTGTAACAGTATTGTTTACCGAATAACGTTTCGGACATAATTAATACTTCATGGTCACAATAACTACACAAATTTGAAATATCCTTTATATAATCCTAATTTCCTCGACTCCTTGTGATATGGGTAGTAAGATTTTCTATATATCCGGAACAGATGTTGAGTAATTCCTGTTGCATGTACTAGGTGTTGATTCGATAAACAAAGATTCAGTTATCAATCTCTCTCTTCACCTTGTTATGCCGATTTTAAAGATTTTTACCCTGTCCCATCTTATTGTATGGTTGTGTGCGATCGCAGGCATACCAACGGCTGAGGGTTTTCTAAATTCCTTACCTTATTAGGATCTAACAATTTTGACCTAGCTAGGTTTTTTGTACTCGGATAACCTAGTTGACCCTGTTTAACTACTTTAACCTCGCAATATATAAAGGACATCTCAAAGTTGTACAGTTATCTTGATATGACTATCGACGATAAATTGTGTCCGAAACGTAATCCAGTAAACAAGACTGTTACATCGTGTGATAAATCTAATAAATCAATCAAAGTGGAATTACATTCTACCACACTGTACAAGTTTAACTTTTATATTACATACTCCCGTTTTTCAACCTGTGTCGAATCCCCTATAGAACAATTAGTAATGGCATACTGTAACTAATCAGTACACACAGCTAACTACATTTTTACTCGTAGCTCTTACAGTTAATATCATAAAAATAACTACTTGTATTAATTTTGATTTCAATGATGAAGAAGAGAGCTAAGCAAACAGAAACGGAAGATAAATCTGTTGAGATTACTCTACAATCAACGAGTTTTCTCTCAATGTAAATGAATTACTGGATATATTTTTAAGTACCATACAGACAACTTGATATAAAACGATATTTCGAAGGGGTTGTGGGGATTAAGAAATATTTTCAAGTTGGTATTCATCGTAGACTGACATCAGTTGGAGGAATAACGGAAACCTGGGAGCACTGGACAGCTGTTTCGTCCTAGTATAGGACTCCCCAGCAGTGCGCACCCGCGACCTTCAGGTCCCACGACCAGCACGTTACCACTGAGCCACTGGGTTGGAATCCAATGGGCCATATTTTCAACTTGGATTCTGATCCAGTGGCTCACTGGTAATGTGCTGGTAACGGAACCTGAAGGTCGCGGGTTCGACCCCTGGCGGGGTTGGGTCGTGGGTGCGCACTGCTGAGGAGCCCCGTACTAGGACGAAACAGCTGTCCAGTGCTCCCACGTTTTCATTGTTCCTCCAACTGATGTCAGTCTACGATCAATACTAACTTGAAAATAAAACAATATAACAATTTTCGAAAAGATTTCTTGACCTTTAACCGATGACTACAGCTAAAAAGAAGACTTACTTTAAAAGTACACCATTTGTAGTCGGTGTTGATAGTGCATCATAGAGGTATTGTAAACAGTTAATCATGGAAAACTTTTATCAGTTGCAAATACTACTTTGGTTTTCACTCTTCAACTATCCTTACTGCACTCACACTTAGACTAAATTTCTCCACTTTCTTTCACCTTTTATTATTAAATAACCTCAATATTTCTTCAAATTTGACCTACTCTGCAGCATATATTTTTTCAGTATCCTTATTAACACCATGAATTATATTATAATTTATATTAAAGTTACTGGAAACTGCATAATCGACAAGTTTTACAGGATCGATTGAGAGATTACAATGATTGGTCAACATTGTATGCATGTACAACTATTTATTTGATGGTACACTTAGACATCAGCCTAGGCTTTATCTTCATTCAGTTCAGTAAACATTTTACGAATATTTATACAGAAGTTCATCTGATATTTGGTTCACTCCATTCTTCTTCACTTGTATGTTTTATTGTAAGTCTTGCTTTTTTATCCCATTTACATTATAACTGATATTGAGCTGTCTTACTCGTCTGTCCTGATGAGACATTGTTGTTTTTACTTCTATGGTTACCATTTTATGTGTAATTTAAGTCAGATTGCTTACGTTCAAACGCTGTAGATAGCTCTGGTGGATCGACCTTCGAGCAACGCGTCGAAAAAGATCTCGCACTAAGCATTTCTGTGCGATTATACGGGTTTTTTAAACTTTCATACCTCAAATTGTCATTTCTTAAAATGTCAGGTGTACATATCTATATTTATTGTGGACAGCTTTTGAAGACAAAAAAAAACAGGCTATTGAACAAACATCTGATCGTATGCTGTATGGTAGTAATGTGTAACGTGTGACACCTCTCTCTCTCTCTCTTAAATCAAGTTGAGTGTGATAACAAAAAAATGGAACACAAAACAAAGCCCATATGGTAATCTTTTTATTAAAAATATCGACTACAAATAATGAATAACAAGAGCATTGACGTGTCAAACAAAATCGAAGTCAAGTAAATGTGAAATGAAACAATTCAGTAATATATATGTTTTTTCTTCAAAGCACTATTTGTCTAAATTTTCATCGACAAATTCAATTATCATTTGAGCTTAAGTTTTGGTTTACAAACGTTTTTAGTTAAAAACAACTAACAATGATGTCAGTTTCAACGGAGAAAGAAGAAACACCGAGATATTTGATGTAGATTTACTAATGACAAAATAAGGTGTGAGGAGGAGATGGAGCAGAATTTCACCTGTCCATTTTTGGACTGTTTGTTACTTATACTAAAACATAACATTTGAAGTTATTGGGACAGTTTTCTTTATTTGAATGAGTAAAAAAGGGAAATGTAATTCTAAGTGATAGAAGTAATTCGTTTAGCTGAATGCAAAGACATCACGTCTGTACCAGTGAAGAGTTTTTTCCATCTGACAGGACTAGGAAAACCCACTGACCAATAGGTTCTATAATATGACAATTGTTCAAAATTGACCGAACAAGTAATGATGAAAGAATCAACTTAATATCGGTTTTATTGATCTTGGTAACCAGCAAAGGAACGAGGACACTCGTTTCATCCTACTTGGGACTCATCAGCTGGATGCACTTGCATTCCAGCGAGTGATGTTGTCCCCACCGAGGCTTAAACCCAGTATTCTTCGCTTCAAACGCCAGAGCGTTATTCATTAAGCCACTGGAGCAAGATACCCATTTCTTTTGCAACAGGTATCAGCTATTATTGTTATGATAACACGTGCGCACCCTAGATTCCTCTATTAGTCACCGAGTTCAATATAACATCACAAATAATCGGCAGTATCGAGGCTTTCAGATAGGAGCCAACCTCGTTTCACTCGAGGGGGTTTTGTGATTTGAATGGTCGATTACAAGCGCAAATTTCTGCCGATAAATTGGTATTAGTTACTAGTTGAAATAAATGCTCTACTGATTACCATCGGTAATTCAGCCTTCCTACTTGACCAGTGTTCATTTTCTCTCCCCTTATCTCCATGAATTTTCATATAAATACCAGTGAAAAGTACGTATGTGATCAGATTATTAGAAATGGGTTGCCGAACTACATTACACGGTCCGGACAATTAACATCTTACTGTCTTGCCAAAATATATGTTGCCTTTAGAATTGGTGCCGACGATAAGATAGCTAACAGTTCTCAATATTTAGATTAAAGCTGTCAAATACCACAAGGAGTTCAATTCAAGTATGCAACACTACATCATTTAAAAAACGACTGGTATCAATAAATATGTTGGCTGTTTTAACTATTCAAACTCCCATGAAAAGAAACATCAATGTTTGACATACTCGACTCTAAATAACATTTTTAATCATTTCGGTGTTTGTTAAATATTCCCCACATCGAATAGTCCCTTTAAAAACCGTTCAAATAATGTTGAGTTATCAGTGAAAGATACCTTCGTTTCAACGACACAAGATGTCAGCTTGTGTTATTTCGAGTTTTTATTTTCTGTGCTGTTGATCATTTCAACTATTTTACTATCTACCATCGATTACGAGAAATTACAAGTGATAATTAATAGGAATTCGCTAAATTGTATAACAAATTAGTGATAAAAC